AGTTATAAAGGTCATTTGATAATTGACTTTCTCTTTTAGGGTCATCGGAAGTTTTGATCCGATGCCAGCATGAATAACCATGATACTTTTGAGTATCATTAAATAAACAAATATTAAAATATACACTCTCTCTTACTTTTACTCAACTTTATATTTTCTCTTTCATCTTTTTACTCAACTTTTATTAATTTATATTCTTTTTAAATATAAAATTATTAAAAACACACTCAAACACACTCATTTGAGTATCAAAAGTATCAACTCATTGATACACTCTCTCCAAAAATACCCACTATCTCTTCTCTTTACTCAAATTTTATTAATTTTATATTTCAATACACCACATTATTTCAACCAAAAACATTCTCTTTCTTCATTTTATTCAAATTTTAATAATTTTATATTTAATAATACCCAATTTGTATCACCGTTGCTGATGCTCTCATCACTCTATAGAGAAAGCAAACTAGGAACAAAGAGAAAGCAAACTTGTTGTTCGAAAAATGGAAAACAACACTAATTCGATTGTTCTTCCGGGTCGGGTTGAAACCGGTTTGGAGGAAATCTACAAGAAACACAAGTGTGGTCCGATAAACGATGACACAAGAGTTATAACTATGATTATTGGCGATTTTAGGAGAGATATGTGCTGGTATGGAGTCTTTGGAAACACAAGGCAATGGAGGATCTCTGCACAGTCCTCAGCTCTTAGCTTTAGCTGAGCTTGAATTTAAGAAGATGTTTTCGACTTTTTTCTTTTTCTATCAATATGAAGTGATTGGTTTTGGTAACAATTACCTTTTTTGGTGTTATACAGGAAACAGCTGAGTAATGTTACAAGTTGTATTAGAAACAGCGTCTGTCTAAAAAAAAGTGAAACTCTTTAAATGTTCTTGTGCATTTAACTATCATTATTGGTGATTGTAGAAGAGATATGTGTTGATTTGGAGTCTTTGGGAACACAAGACAATGGAGAATCTCTGCACAGTCCTCAGCTCTTACCTTTAGCTGAGTTTGAATTTAAGAAGATGTTTTTGTTGCTTAGCTATATTCCAGGGTATGTTTGAGCTGCAAGTTTTCGATTTTTTTTATTTTGAAGTGACTATATTTCATTGATAGTATTGACTAGCATAAACCATTTCAAAATATGCTAATTGGATTTGAAGTTTTTGTCAAAAATGTTCATGCTTGCAGTATAATCATGTTATTAAACACA